TCATAAATATCACACTCAGATTAATTAAATAGAAAAAAAAAATTTGTATTTTAAAAATAAAAGATTATCTTTATAAATATAATAAATAATAATATAACTATTCTCAAGATTGCTTTTTTATAATATAAAGTCCATTTCTAAAAACTATATTCCAATATCTAAAAACTTTATTTCCAAAATAATATTGATATAAAACCCAGAAATATATATAATATTAAAAAGAATCAGATTATCTTTTGAATTCTAAAATCTTTAAAGAATATTTTTGATTATATAAGTACCTTATTCAATAATCTATATTTTTGATATTTTCATCTCAATATAATTTAATATTAATAAAAATATATATTTATATCTATCAAAAAAATTGACATTATTGATAAAATACATTACATCACTATTATTAAATATAATACTATCAAAAAGTTGATAGAATAAATTAGAAATAATAGTATAAATCCTATAACTTATAAAATCTTAAATAAGATAAATAATTATTCTTAATCCAAAATCTTATAAATTATAAAATTAAAAACTATTATTTTTTGAATTGATCTATTCTTTCTATTTCTATATTTTATATATATTCAATTATTAATTATTTTTAATCCTTTTTTGTATATCATTATATTCCTTTTTTATTAATAAAATCGAATTTTAGAAATTATATTTCTTAATAAATATAAACTCCATTAATTAATATATTTTGAAATAATAACTCCTATTTACTTTTCCATTCTTTTAATTAAATTCTAATCTATAAAAATATTTATATTAATTACTTATTCTTTTGAAGCCTTTTTTTCAAGTATTACTTTACTTTCCTTATAGATTACTAGAATTCTATTTAAATTCAAAATTGATGATTAAGAATATACCCTTATTTTTAGAAATTAAAGAATCCTAATAAACTAAATCACCAAAGATATTTCTGAATTGCTTTAAAAAATAATTAGGAATTCTGAATTGATTATTAATCTCGATTTGAATAAGTATAATATTCATCTAAATAGGAAATATATATATTTTTATAATTTATAAGAAATTGATAATTATTAAATTATCTTTCATTTTGATATAATACAACTTTGTAATTAAATAAACTCTAGTTTATTTATTATATTATTTAATTAAATCAATTCGATTTATAATTATTTACTAAAAAATATTTCGATATTCTTGAGTAATAATAGATTTTATAATTGTTATAGTAAATATAATTTTATTTTATAACTTCTGAATGATTATTTTAAATAATAAGGCTTTAATATTATTATTTTTAAGAATAAGTTTTATAAAATAAAATATATTTATTATTTTTGTAATTTATTTGTAGATGTTTTGATATAATTTATATATAATATTATACTTATTTTTCTAATATTGATATTCTCCTTGAAATATAAAATGCTTAATTAAGATATTTTAAAAAATAATTGTTTTAGGTTTTATAGATTTAAGTATTAATTTCTTGAAAGATAATAATAAAGTTATTTTAATATCTTTTTTCAAATCCTTTTATTGAAATTGTTTGTAAATATTAAAATTAAAAAGATACTTTGCTTAATTATTCAAATTATACTTTTTTATTAAATCAATAATTATAATAAGTTTAAATAAATCCTTAATAAACTAGTTTTTATTATAAATAAAAATTAATTAATAAAGAGTTTTTCTATTTTTTGAGAATTTTTTGAAATTAGTTGGAGTAATTAAAATAGTTTTGAAATTAGATAGTTTAATATTCTTTTAAATACTTTTTGATATATAAAAGTATTATAAATTTAAAAACTATTTTAATTAATATCCATAGATAACAAATCGAATGATTTCTGAGAAATTAGATTTCAATATAATAAGGTTATAAAGAGATATAGAAGAAAGTATATATAAATTAGAATAATTAAAAAATATATATATATAATAAAGGTATAGTATAAATATTAACCAGACTTATAACTATCACAAAGGTAATAGCTATATCTAATAATTACTTTAATTAAAGAATAAATATATAGAATAATAATAAATTAGATTAATTTGAAATATAATTCTAATAATTATATTTATTTTATATATCCTAATCGGGCAAGATATTTGCCTAATTAGATATATAAAATATACAAATAAAATGAATAAAATAATATTAATAATTATAAAAGTAAGTACTCCAAAGGAGTATTGGGATTAGTGTTTGTAAGGTTACACTATACGGTGAATTCCGTGATAAATAATCATATCTGCTTTATATACCCTGATTAAACAAGGTATTTGTCTAATTAGATATATAGGGTATACAAATGAAATGAGTGAAATAGTATTAATAATCATGAGAATAAGTACTATAAAAGAGTACTGGGATTAGTGCTTGTAAGGTTATATTATATAGTGAATTTCGTGATAATATAATTAAGATATCTTTTCCTTTCAACAAATATTAAATTATAAGTTGAAAATTATATTTATATCTACATCTATATAATAAAACCTCTCTATAAGGATATTGGTTTTTATAGTCTTTTTTAAGGATATATAGAGGTATCCTTATAGATAGGTTCTGCTTAATCCCAATATAGTAATAACTTCCTTCCGATTAATCCCGATCGGATTATATTCTATAACATTTTTTAGAGTTTTAATTAAATCTCTTAGAAACCCTAATATATTTATTATATAATAATTAATTCTAATAATTATATTAGCTTAATAAAGATATATATATAATTCTGGAATCGAGAAATATAAGGATATCCTAATGAAAAGGTTTTAAGGATATAGATTATTTTTAGCCTTGAAAATTTTTGGGATCGAAAAATATATCCTTATAAAGAGGTTATTCTTATAGAAGGAATCCTTATGGAGAGGTTTTGCTATATCTATCTATCTATACCTAATGCCTCTTCCGAAGTATGAGGTGCCTCTTCCGAAGTATAAGTGCCTCTTTCGAAGTATAAGAAAAGGTCTTTTGAAAAGTATTAAAGAGCGCTTTGGGGGGAGATAGGTATAAGCCCCACTTTTCACTCGAAAAATCTTGGCACTTTTTTGATCGATTTTTTCTTAATCAGCAATTCCAAAAATCAAAAAAATCCCAAATATTGAAGAAATTCGCCCTTTTGCCCTTTGGAAGAGGCTGGTGTTGTGTACCAGCACGACGCACCTTGTACTCCGTATATGAAACCCATAAAACCCGGTTCCGCGGCTGATGCTGACTGATGCTTATATCGATGCTACCTCTATCTATCTACCTCGCTATCTACATACCTACACACATACTACCTACCTACCTACACACTTACAATTCTCCATCCCCTCCCATCCACAAACATGGAAAAATCGCATGAGAAAAGGTAGAATAGAGTAGGATAGAAAAGAACAAACACCAATCCCCCCTCACCCCAATCATCCTATTTCTTAAACCCCCATCAACATCTCCAGAATACTTGCAGAACACACACCCATCCTCCAATTTCTACTTTAGTCCATAATACATACATACATACATACATACACACTCATCCACTCACTCACTCATTCCAATCACCCAAACAAAACACTCTCAGTAAGATACCCACGCAGTACATTTACATTTCGCTCTATTCTGTCTCATAACCCCATATGTTCATGCTTTATTCTGCATTTTGCATTTTGCATTCTACATTCTGCATTTTACATTTTCTTTTCTTGTGGAAAAAGATTCCTCTCCACATATAACCTAGTTAATTCTGCCCGTCCACGAGCCTACGAGTAACCTTATGGATTCTGAGGTTGTGGATTCTACTGTGAGGTTACTGTACTGTACCCCCACGCACATCAATGCGCACGTGGCGGGACAGCGCATCGATTGTCTTTAAGGTTTTGTTTTGTTTTGTTTGGTTTGGTTTGGTTTTAGTGGCTAGGTGGTGGGTGCTTATTTGTTTTGCTTACTTTGTTACTTGGTTACCATTTATGGTTTATTTCTTTGTGGTTGTACTTGTGCTTGTGGTTTTGATACTTTGGATTCTGGAGAGGTATGTGAGTGAGTAAGGATTGCGTTGTGGATTTTTCGAGTTACCTAGGTAGGTCGCCAGAGTGGAAGTTTCCGCTTGGGTTTGGGGAATCTTGAAGCGAGGATTTGAGGGTGTTGGGTGTGGGATGAGCGCGAGGAGGTGTGAGAGGGGGGTTGAGTGGAGAGTGCATCAATCGAGTGATTGGAGTTGGGAATGGATATCCATCTACCTGTACTTCTTCTTTTTTGGAGAATGAGGTGGAAAGTGTTGTAAGGCTGAGAGGTGGAGGGAGTGGGAATTGAGTTTTGGTGGGTGATTTTTTATTGGAGAGATATCTCATGGATGGGGGGTATACGTAGATATGATTGGATGTATCTGTATTTATATAATTGCCGTCGTCTCAGGGAAATACGATGGCTTATCATAATAACAATAAGATGTAAAATCTTCTGAATACTTTCGAGATTACAGACCTCGAATGATGGGTAATGATTAAGAAACTTCATCATGTTATCATGGTGGTGTGATTATGCAAAGAGATTCTTTCTCACTGCTTACCTACTGATACACATATATGTATACAGATACATCATTCGTTACTCAAAGTCATCGTTACAGATCTCCATATCATTCTCTAACATATATCAGATAATATTCCGTCAAATATAGAGTTGTATTGTGGAGCACTTCGTCGTAACGGAGAAGAATCGCAATGATGGAGATATAACTAGTCAGGTAAAATTTCCAAGCTCTTCTACATTTTATACATGTTTTGCCGGGTTGCAATATTGGGCACTTGTGTAACTCTTTTACATCTTGGGATTTTGATATCCTTTTCAGTTGGAGACCGATTGGAGAAAAAGGACAGTGATGGAGATGGAAGGTTTTCTTACTGCAGGTATACATATATTACGTACCTACTATTGTATTCACTTTCATAGTCGCGACAAGTTAGAACTTCATGATGAATCCTCGTTCATGATGATAGTAATCATTGTGATTTTCTTGAGTTTATCTTGAATGTATACATATCGTGGAAGTGGCCACCTCTGCTATATTTTCAACTATGCAGTTCTTCAAAACCCAGTTTGGCTTTTGTTACTCGCCAGTTGCAATCTTGTAGCTTCTTCCGCTTCGTCATATTCGCGTGATGAATCTGTGTTTGCAGAGAGCTATGATTATATCATTGTCGGTGGTGGAACGAGTGGCTTAGTTGTTGCAAATCGATTATCTGAAGATCCTACTAGTTAGTGGTTTTTCGACAAGTATAACTTCAGTATACAATGCTAATTTGTATACAGAAACCATCTAGGTGATTGAGCATGGTGTTATAGATGACAGCTCTCTCGCCTTAATCCCAAGACTCGATCTCCAATATTTCCCTAACAATGTAAAGAATTGGGATTATATTTCCGCGCCCGTTGAAATACTGTCAAATGCAACCTTCAACGTCTACATCGCTGATGTAGTAGGAGGTAGTTCCTTACACATGGTATGTCTGCCGATCGAGAATCCAAAGCAGACTACGATGCATGGGGAACTCTCATCGGAGATGATACCTAGAGTTGGGAACCTTTACCCCTCCATCAGAAGAGCTTAAAACACATTTCGATATCAGGAATAACGCTTCTGGGTATGGGAATAAACCTATTCAAATCGGTTATCCCTCTTTCATCTTCCGCGATTACAGAAACCAAACTCTAGCCGCGGAAGATTTTGGAATCGAGATATCGGATGCACCGGAATCCGGTGATGCGATTGGTTTCTATTGGGTTCCTCAGACTCTTGATCCGAAGACCGGGTTTCGTTCGCATTCGCGTGTCGCTTATTATGATCCTATTACTAGTCGACCCAATCTCCACCTTATTCCAGGTCATTTAGTCGAAAAGATTCTTTTCGATGACAATCTCACTGCTACTGGTGTGGAACTTACATCTGTCCAGACAAATCAAACACAGATAGTATCAGCAAAGAAAGAAGTCATCCTCGCAGCCGGTGCGATCAACACACCCAAGCTTCTACAATTCAGTGGAATATGTCCCACCACTGTACTCGAAGCTGTGGGAGTGCAAGTGCTTCTCGATGAACCGGCTGTAGGGGCAAATTTTCAGGATCATCCGGTTACGTATCTCGGCTGGAATGTTACGAATTTGGCGTTTCCAAATGATGCGACGATTGCGATGAAATGCTTCATATAATACGAGTGCGTCGCAGGAATATATCACGAATCATACGGTCGGTATTTCCATTCTTTATTTGCTGACAGTTTGATGTATTATCACGTCGTACTGAATGCACCTCAGGGACAATATACTCAAGGCACTTTTCCCGATGCAGCATTTATTCCTCTCTCTTTCTCTCAACTCATATCCCCAAACCAGGAAATCATCGACCAAGCTCGCGCTCAAAATGTGTCAAACTACATCCCATCTATCTACCTCAACAGCTCGGCGCTTCTCAAAGGGTATCTTACCCAACGCGATATCATCCTCAATCATTTCTCTCGAACCAACGGAGCAGTGATAGAAATTCCCATTGGCACCACAGGACCCGGTATGTACCTAACCTCTTATCTCCTACTAATTTTAGAAATATCACAAATCTCACTAAACACAAACCTCACCACCTATTAACCCCACTCAGGCGCCCGCGCCGTCGAAAACCCTTCTCTCCCGAGAAACCCCCTCTTCCCCTCATTCCCAATCAATCATAAACTACCACGCCTTCTCCTCCCCCATGGACTCCCTCATCGTCACCTCCTGCACCCGCCACATCCGCTCCTACTGTTCCTCTCCCCATCTCTCCTACTCTCCCACGGAAAATTTCCCCGGTCCCGCTGCTCACATATATGAAGAGATTCTCGCAGCGCTGATTAGCGTAGGCGCTATCGCGCCGAGTTTTGCGCATTCGTCTGGGATGTGTGCGTTGGGGAAGAGGGAATGGGGAGGCTGTGTGGGAAAGAATTTCTCGGTGTATGGGCTGCGGAAGGTGAGTGTCGCGGATGCGAGTGTCATGCCGCTTGTTCCAGCGACGCATTTGCAGTTGACGGTCTTTGGGGTGGCGGAGAAGGCGGGGGATATTATTAAGGGGAGGACATGATTAGAGTGGGATTGAGGGTGGTTGGAAGGGAATAGGAGAGGTAGTTGAATTTGAATTTGAGTTTGTTTTTTGGGGATCTTGAGGAGTGAGTTTTGGAGGTATATGAATGGGTAGAGTGGATGCACTTGTGTGAGTTTGTAATTCGAGGTGTGGAAAGGAGCTATACTTCTTTCTGCAGAAGGCGATGCTGCATCTTGATAAATATAATCATGTAAGTAGGTATTTAAATGATATCTACATGTGCTTGTAACGAATGCATTTTGTAGGAAAGTCGTCAATCTTGACTACATTTCCCTATTCCTTCCAATGCTATAGATACCTACTTAGATGCCTACTCAATCTCAATATGTGCAGATAAAATACATTCCATACAATGGAAGAAATAGCTGATCGATTCATTTCTTTAGTTTCATTTCAAATATTTTTACTGGTAACCATCTTCGAGATGAACCTCGCTAAACTCCCAAGTGTGAAGCAGAGGTTAAAATAGTAAAAAAGCGCTTTATGAGACTTTCTTGATTCAGAGCCGCTTATGGCGAAAATAAATGCCCTGCGCAATATTAAACTTCTCTTTTGATTCTCGTTTTTCCGCTATATCTATTATTTTCTCTGGTTGTTTTTTCTTCTTCTTATTTCTCTATACGAATGATGATCACGAAAAGAAATTCTTTCCTCAGCTCTCTTTTTTCTTTGGCTGTTTCTGAAAAGGATACCTAGGTAGAGTATTTCTATATTCTCATGTATATGCTTATTTTTAGAAGTTGGTGGACTTTATTTCTCTTCTGGTTTACTCAGATGGAATTCGTATCTGTTGGTATCTTTCTGCTGGGTTAAAGTTGGAAGGACTGGATGCGAAGTGTTTCCTTTTCCTTTTCCTTTTCCTTTTTCTTTCTTTCTTTCTTTCTTCCTTGATGAGATGAGGAAATCAGGATTCCACGCGGTGAGAGGATTTCTCCAATTTCTTAGAGTGCAATGGAAATGCAGAGATTCCTCAATATTCGAGATGTATCTTCGAATGTGATAGATATGATGTGTTATTATGGGATTTGAGTATTTGCAACCAGGAAAATTCTATATCTTCATTTAGAGCATTGACTTAAATCTATTGTTTATAGTTCTAGCTTTCATTCGTAGCAAGTGAGGATTTCGGTAGTACGACGATTTCAACATTCTTTATTGACCCTTTTCGTGCTTTTAGAAAAGTTTCTGGCTTGATCTGGTATTGGGATATTCATTGTCTGATTTATTTTCATGAATCAAATTCTGTTCCAAAGCTTGCCATGAAATGAAGTTGGTTGATTTCGGCGTCATTTCCATGCTTACTCACACCAGAAGATTCTCAATCTATGGTGCAAGTATGGATTATCAATGCAAAGAAGAGAGGAAATCTAAGAAGCTTTGGAGCACTTCATCTTTATATGGATTCATTGAGATGGAGGTGATCGGATCATGGGTATTTATATGTCTCCATCTCGTAGCTTGAGATTCCCATCCGAAATTTGCAAACTCGCTCCGTGGATTTGAACTACATCTGTTATTTTTTGAACTTACCATCTCTACTCAAAACATCCTACTGTATCTAAGATACAGGAAAGATGTGTTCTTCCGTTTCTTCTGACGACGCAATGGATTTCGAGCCCGATGAGAATCTATCCATGGCAATCGTTCCTGAGCATTTAGGAAATGAAGATACCATGATAAAACTCGGTTTCATTGATGAATTGAAGAAATTATTCGCTATCAATGAGCTTCTCAATCTTCCCCAGGTATGCATGCCGTTTCACATTTCAAAATCGCATTCCCCGAGCGCAGAACTTGTTACATATTAACGAATGAAATATAGCTTGTCGTAATCGGCGACCAAAGCTCCGGAAAGAGCTCTGTTCTCCAAGCTATCACACGACTTTCCTTCCCCGTTGATGACGGCCTCTGTACACGTTTCCCGACCGAAGTTTCCCTACAACGAGCATCGGAAGACGCTCTAGAAGTCAGTATCACGAAAGCTGTTCGTGCATTGGATGCGCCAAATCAAACTACTGTACAGAAAAAATGGGTTGAGAAACAATCTACACGTATTGATGAGTTCAATGGTAGATGGGGAGGTAAGGTTGCGCAAATGGACGATTTTTGTGATATTATAACAGAGGTAAAGTGTCGTCTTTAGTTTGAACATTTCTTGCAAAAGACACCTACGATAGATAGAATACGAGTACTAATAGAACGTTAGGCGAAGAGAGTGATCATGGGAGATTCCGTCGAGCCTGGACAGTCGGCAAAAAAGGCGAATGTTGCCCAGAATAAGAAGAATTTTCTGAGTGATGCTACCTTGAAGATTGTCAAAAAGGGTCCGGGAGAGATCAATATCACAATTGTTGATATCCCCGGATTGGTTTCATGTAAGTCCTAACAATGTAGTTGATTTTGGATCATTTTTTTAATGCCCATTAGCAACTCATCCAGCTCATAAAATGGCCAAAGCATTGGTGGATCACTACATATTGAATCCTCGAAGTATTGTTCTGTAAGCAAGGCCAAAAACTCTAGAATCTTTTGCTAATCACTCACAGAGCTGTCGCCCATCCTGCAAATGTCGAAACTCAAGATATGTTCCAGATTATCAAAGGTATTGCTAATTGGAAAAATCGAGTCATTGGAGTCATCACAAAATGTGACAAGATAGAACCAGAGGGCGATGATTGGGTACGTGTTTACCTCTATCGTAGTATCCATGATAGAAAAATACTAATATAAAGTATCTTACAGGTATTCAGAGCAATCAAAAACGATGAGAGCGATCCAGAATTCGATAGATGTCTCAAATACGGCTGGTTTGCACTGCGCAACCTCTCTCCATCCGAAAGAAAATCCAGCCCCAGCAAAGAAATCCAAACGATACGCGATCAGAAGGAGGAAAAATTATTCAGTCAAAAAGTGTGGACAGATCTGGAGCGACAAGGAAAACTAGGCATCAAAAATCTCAAAGTTGCGTTGACACAAATGCACAACGAACATGTGACACGCAGTATCCCCGAACTGATTCCGGAGATCGCAGAACGTCTCAAAGGAGTCGAAAGAAGAATCGAAGCACTAGGACCACCGCGAATCACACCCGAGAGCCAGTTAAACTGTTTGGTTAACCTCGCGACGAAGTATTCTTTGCACGCCGGAGATGCTATCGATGGCCATAATGATCGTTTACCCGTCAATTGCCCTGAAGTGAAGATTCGGAAAATCGTCCGCGATACCCTAGACGAGTTTAGGGATGGTATGACCGCGGTTTACGATCAGCGCTTCAATAGTAAAATTCTCGGATTCTCTCTCGACTCGGTTGACGAGAAAACATGGGAACGCGCGGTGCTGAGAAACAAGTATTTTAACGAGATTAGCCGATGTATCGAAGCCAATCGCGGCAAAGAAATGGCCGACGAAGTAAACGGCGCGGTCATACGTAGTCTCTGGTCGGAACTAACACCAGTATGGAGAGACCAAACCAAAGCCTTGATTGAATCATTAGTCAACGCAATCTGGATATCAGTAGGATGTCTCTTGCACGCGATTTGCGAAGAAGAATCTCTTCTAATCAATGTCCAAAATCTCCTCGAGGAAGACAGAACCGCCGTTCACGATGACGCCATGCACGAATTAGATAAACTTCTCAACGATGAGAAATCCGGACTCATTGTCACTCTCAACAAATGGAACGTGTATCAACTTTCCGATTTGCGCGAAGGCAGATTCAAACTCATGACTGCGAGACTGGACGAGATTCAGAGACGGGATAAGGATATTGTGAAAACGCAGGTGAAGAGTTGGTTTGGGCATAATGCGAAGATTGATGCGATATTCACGACGCATGATAAGTTGGCGAGTTATTATCAGATTGGCATGGTGAGGTTTGTGGATAATGTTTGTCATCAGGTTTGTGAGAGACATCTTTTGGGGAGGAAGAGTCCGTTGAGGACTTTGGGCCCGGATATGATTACGAAGAAGTTTCAGGGGGTGGGTTTTGGTTTCTTTCTCTTTCCTTTCTTAACTCCTCCTATTCTTCTTCTTCTTCTTCTCCTTCTTCTTCCTCTTCGTGTCGAAATTCGACGTCAAGAGTTGTGACTTGTCAGAAAACAATAAGCGAGAACCTAATTAACAAAAAATCAATAGGACGAAGAAGCTCTACGAAAGATCGCAGGCGAAACCGCACCTCAATTAGCGGAACGAGCTCGATTGCAAAAAGATCAGGAGTCGTTGAAAAGAGCCATGGAAAAGGCGAAGCAGTATAAATTGACTTTGGGGGTACATGGGATGGGGTTGTGATGAGTTGGACTGTGATTGATACAGTGGGGTGGATTCAGATGTTCAATGCGCAGAATTGACCGGTGAGATGGGGATGGGAAGGAAGTTTCAGATGATCGGATGGAAAGAGAGGAGATTGATAGTATTGAGGGTGGATGAGTAGATGAACGGATGAATAGAGACTTACATGATGCGACGGGATGAGCATGGAAACAAGCGCAGAGGAATAGAGAGTGGCGGATTAGATTCAGTGATCTCTAATATTCTTAAAGCATAACATCCAAAGATATCGGTTTCTAAATCCTCCATTTACCGTCCGAATTTACCAAAATAAAAATTAAAAATTAACCCCAACTCATACATTATAATAGCATCCGCTATTTCTACCCACCATCCCAAGTCTTCTCAACAATCAACAAATACAACTCCCCTTCCCCCGAAAACAGCAAATTCACATCCACATTCACATTCACAATTCAACCCCATAAAAAACACAAAAATTCGCCAGCGAGGCACGATAAGTCATTACAACTATCTCTATCCATCTATCCATCCATCCATCCATCCATCCATCCATCCATCCATCCATCCATCCATCCATCCATCCATCCATCCATCCATCTGGAAATGGTGTTGTACACCAAACCAATTCTTCTCCATCTATAAAAAAGAAATAACAAAAGAAATCAAACGAGTGTAATTTTCGTTATTATATTTGAACTGGGATATGGAATTGGATTTGTATCGAAATCGCGAAACATTGATGATTGTGTGTCATATTTCTTTCTTTCTTCGCAGAAAAGTAGGGTTGATTGAATAGGTGAATGGATAAATGAGTATAGATCCTGCTACATCGTTTTAGGAACCAGAAGATGAATCTAAACGCATCATTTCTCGAATATAAGTATGAGAGGAATGGAATGTATGACATTATCCATAAACGCGACGAATGTTTCACAGCCAGGAAGGGGGGTGGGATTCGATAACCAATCAATCAATCAATCAATCAATCAATCAATCAATCAATCAATCAATCAATCAATCAATCAATCAATCAATCAATCAATCAATCAATCAATCAATCAATCAATCAATCAATCAATCAATCAATCAATCAATCAATCAATCAATCAATCAATCAATCAATCAATCAATCAATCAATCAATCAATCAATCAATCAATCAATCAATCAATCACCTATTCCTCGGTCCCCCAAACTCCCCCGCTTGCGCATCCGCCGCCTCACTCGAAATATCCACCTGCACCGTCCTCATAATTCCTTCTATTTCCTTTCCCTGCCCGTGTACGCCTCCCGTCGCACTCTCCAAATCTCTCTCCCTCTCCGAACTCTCCATCCCACTCCTCTCATCCACGCTCCTCTCTCTCACAATCATCCCCTCCTCTCCACTTTTTCCTAAAATCGTCTCCTGACTCTCATTATCACTCACATCGCCCGGATATCGGGCCGCGGCTCTCGCTGCTCTTTCTTTTCGCGAGTTCGTGAGAGTATTGATATTGGAAGTGGTGGTCTGGTGCTGACTTTTCGAGTTACTGAAAACTTGCATATTGTGGGAGCCGGTGTGGGCGTAGGGGTTTGAGGAGGATTTTCCGGTAGAAACGAGTTTTTTGCCGAATACTTTGAAGAGGGGAGCGAGGACGGGCATAGAGGTTAGGATGATCTTGTTTCGTGTTAGTTTTTTGTTTTATACACTCTTTCTTTTCATTTTTATGTTTCTTGTTTGAAGGGGAAGGAGAAGGAGAGGTGGCAGAGGACATACTCCGACATTCAATTCTATGTTCCCCCACACGACCAACATTGTGGAATTACCACTACCCGTCGCAATAACGGGAATTTCAGCCATCCGCAAAACAGAACACACCGTTGTGAGAATACCGAGGGCGAAAACGCCAATGATGCCGAATTTTTTGGATCTATCCATTCGTAAACCGTAGAGAAATGGGATAGGAAGAAAGAAGATAATGACATCAAAAACGATAGTCGTAATAGCGAGACCGGCAAATAGGGGACCAACGGGAAGACAGGTTCCTGCAGTTTTTGGATTCCATGATTTTTTGATCTGATGGACTCATAGATTAGCATATTTTTGGGGGGGAAGAATGCATGGGGAAAGAGGGAAAGAGGATTTATATATACCGGGTTGCAGTTAAACATTAGAACCAGAGTCCCGACCGTATGGCCTATAATGCAGAGAGCCATCACGATCCATACTATAAGACGGTAGGTTGGTTGTCCCTTGGAGAGAATGCGAAGATAAGAGAAGCAAAGTGAGACTTTGAAGCCTAAGATGCCCATCATATAGAAAGGTCGACCGGCATAATTGATCTATTCATTTATCAGTGGCTAATCTCTCGTGCATCCGTAAATTATTACTGACGCTAGAATATGTGTTCAAGTTGACTATTGGTCTAAGAGCCAACGGCAGACCTAATCCCCATCTTGATTCTATTTCATCATTAGCTAGTGCCAAGTTTACCTGAGATGCTTCTTACGAGCAATAGTACAAGCGTTGTAAATGATACTACATATCTAGCCACAAAGAATTAGCATAAATTGCAGAGATATCCGAAGAAAGACCTACCGCAGCAATGAAGACGGCCCAGTCATCGGCACCAATACCTCGCACAGTACGAACTCTGACATACAATCTCGTGCCGACAGTGATGAGCATCAACACAAGCAATGGAAACGAAGCTCCTAAGATCGAAGGATAATTGGATTGAGAATTAACCTCTGGTGTCGAGTTGTAGACCCACAAAGTGGGCATGACGATACACTTTCTAGAAGATATTCCACAAAATCACCAAATTTATCAACGATCGTATTGCATCTGGACACTGGATCTGAGATATGTATATACCTTGACCTCTTTGGATCGATCCTCAATCATTATGGACTTATCACTATTGCCAAGCTTCTGAAGAAACTCCTTGTTATGTCGTTTCGATTATCGACCTGTTCGTGTTGGATATTTTATTTTCCCCTTGTCGTCTACAGGGGCCGCGACAGGTACAGTGCCACGGTTGTTACCAGATGCCTGCGATACAACATAAGCTGGGAGATTCCTTCAATGTAACTTTGATCAGCGCAGCCACCACTTTCGGCTCCTGTTATTTGGGACTCGAGTCACAACTCTATCCTACTATTCTTTTGAAGTTTGTTTGTTGCTAATACCATCTATGTCATTAGCACATTACACAAGTATTGCTTCAATTGTCGTACTCGAAAATGAGGCATCTCTGAATTAGAAACACACGCCACACATTATCGTACTACTTTTCCCCCCAACGACTAATTCTTATGGGGAAGGGGTCTCGGAGACACGGATGTTCAAGAAGATGGACTGTTAATGACATGGTCTGGCCTTGTGCACATCCCTTTGCGGAGCAATTATGTCTGGTGAAAATTTGAGAACCCTCTTGGACCTTGGACCCCTGGAAACTCAAAATGATTACCCCAGTGTAAACACGAATAGCAAATTACCAAGCGTTGCATATTTCACGCAAGAATATCTGTATTGGTAAAGGCTCCGTGTATTTGCACCGGCATTCCCCCAAACCCCCGTCGAGAACAGGGTTTTGATCCAGAATCCCCACAATTCGGATCAGATTTTGAGTTCCCCCAGCCAAACATCAACGATTCATAGCTCAAGGCAAATCGTCCGTATTTCAACCCTGTTCAAAACTGGCGGGATACCTCGAGCACACCTGCCGAGGTGATATTCCTGATCATAATTCCTTGTCGTGGTGACATTTCAAAGATTTTCCCAGGATTGTTATTCCTCTCCCGTACATTAAACCTCGAAATTTTCGAAGGATGAACGAAGGAATGAATAACACTTTATTCAAGTACCGTTCGATGAAGTTGTAATAAGAAATAAAAAACGGGCGCGGAAGCCAATTCTTAGTTCACGGGATCGTTCCGGCCCCCTTCATAATTGACAACTAAAATGATTCGCTAGGGCTGACCCGCTTTTATCATGCACAAGCCGAACTACAGTCTGTCCATAAGGTTTGTCGTTAATTCGGCGACGTGATAAAATCTGATCGTATGGGGGTAATATTGGACGAGCTGAGGAGTGCTAAATCAGTAAACAGTAGCTAGATACTCAAATTTGACTTCGTGGCTGATTCCTGAGCATTCGTTTCAGCAAACTCAAAAAAAGACTGCTACTTTCGAGGGTAGTCCAAGTTCGTTTCAGTAAACCTTGTAGACTTAATTCCCATGAATATCAGAATGCAATTGTGTGAAATAAGGCACATTTACTGTCCCCAAGTCAGGTCCAGAGGTCCAAGATATTTCTTGAGTCTAGACTCACGGATAATGTTGATATACCCGCGGAACAATTTTATAATCGTAGCAAACTACAAATGGACCATGCTTGAAGGAAGAGAGCTATCTCCGAACGGCAAAATGTCTCATTGCATAGCTTGTCAATTAAGTATTTTACTTGGCTCCAAACATGTACTCGAGAGGGGTTGAGTTTGAGGTTCCTGCAGATATTCTTCCATTCAACTGGATCTGTTTTGTAATTACCCAATCTCGATGATGAGTGAGAACTTCTCCACGAAAATGATAACATTTACTTTACCAAGGAATTGCTTGACGGGAAAATGAAGATTTATAGTTTGCCACAAACGAGCAATATCTAGAAACGCTGCTGATAAGGAAATTATCTCTCCACTTACATCACTGACTCAATTTGGAATCAATTTGCCGTCAAATTTATATGCGAGCTTACCGAGTCGACAGCCTAATGCGTAGCTCCTGCTCCAGTATATAGGTAAGAATGGCGAGAGACCCACTCGCAAAAACGGCAAAATCGAATGATAAAACTCGAAACCACATAAGTCAAATGCAGAGTTTCATTAGTGCCATACATGCTGCATAGTAAGCTGCAGTCTAGGTTGTACTGAAATGAAATAACAACGCATGGTTCATGGGCTTGCGCGGGGTATTTACCTGATATAGAACCATTAATTATCAACTGCCCCACGGGGC